GTATATATTAGGGAACGGAGTGCTGTAACAGAAACTTTTTAGCCTTTGTTTTAAAACAAATACGTACTATAAAAAGAAAATTCAATTCAGGAATATAATACACGGTTTTTAAGCATAACACTCGGAGTATAGTCCACTAGCTAGACACAAGGAACGTTACTTCCCTCTCTCCTTTGCACCCTCGCATGCGCACAATAGTCAGTACACTACTTTAACTGTTAAGCGTGCAGCTCAATACAAAGATTTTTGTATCTTTTTCATAAATTGAAAGATGGTCAACGATTTTAAGGATTATAATGTACTAGTTCACGGAGAAAATGAAAAACGAAAATTTACCTAAATATTAAAGCGATATTTACAATTTATTTCACTACTCCGTTGCTTCCTAAGCGAAAATAATAAAAATTACAATTTGGACCCGAATTTGTAAAAATAAAATCCCAGCAGAAATAGATTTACTACATATTTTAGTTGATATTACAATTTTAATTGTAATATTTAAGAAACTCGAATTAGTTTTTAAAGAAACATGTTAAAATGGAGATTATTATTTTATTAAGTTATTTAATAAATTCTACTATTTCTACGGTAAATTCAATCATTTATAATCGAAAATTATAATTTTTGCGTTGTCATAAAAATTTAGTTTTCTCCGTGTTGTCCGCGGCATCGTTCGTGTGGAGTTCGATTATATCACAAAACTCTCATTTTACAATATCAGGAGTGGTGTTTTTGAAAACTTATTTTATTGTGGATAATGCTGTTATATAAGGAACCTTTGTGCAAAATTTCAAGCTTCTTTACTCAGATGTTGGGCTGTGCCTTAATCGATGTACATCAAACTTTGAACTCGCTTTTCACCTCTTTAGGGGTTACATTTAAAAAATCTTTTAATGCTCGCCTACGCTATACAAAATCGAATTGAGAACTTCCTCAATTCGATATATACTCAACTGTATATTTTTGGGTATACCCACTAAAACCATTTTTCACATTAATGAATTTTAAAGAAATGTACGGAACCCTTAAGAGTACTTGGTACCCTAACCTAACCTAACTGAAATATCCCTTTTTGGGATTCTGCAGCCAATTACAATAAGAACCCCTATAGTTTCTGTATGCTCGTATGTCAGTCTGTCCACCTGATAGTATGTCAATCTTCTCAAAAAATTCTCATTTATTCAGTCACTTCAACGCTCGCGAAAGATTAATTTAGAAATTCGAAAAAGATTGTTAAGGGCGTATGTTTGGAGCTTGACACTCTACGGGTGCGAAACATGGGCAGTGGACGCGACGAAAAAGAAGCGTTCGAAATGTGGTGTTACAGGCGAACGATGAAGATACAGTGAATAGAGAAGGTTAAAAATGACGAGGTATTAGAAAGAATAGGAGAACAGAGGACTCTATGGAAGTCAATAAGAAACAGGCGAGATAGATTGGTAGGACACCTTCTCAGGCATGAAGGCCTAGTCAGAGACATATTAGAGGCAAAAACAGGAGTTAGGAGGGGTAGAGACAGACCTAAATTAGATTACTGTTCGCAAATAGTTAAGGATGTGGGATGTTCTAGTTTTAGGGAAGTGCGAAGATTAGCTCAGGATAGGAAGGAGTGGAGGTGCGTGTCCAACCATAAATAATAATTAGTTGAATCTGCTTCCCATATAATATGATAAAGAATGTTGAATGCTTCAAATCCCTTTGATTTTAATTCTTCACCCACTATGTATTTGCTCTCAAAACTGTCATTATCAAAGGGACTCCTCTTTATTTTTAAGCTATCGATTCAAAATATCTAAAAAAAAAAAACAATATGCACTATAGAAGAAATATAATTTATTAAATATTTGAAAATAACTCTAGCAGTTTCCAAAGAAAGATGTATGTATAAACATTTTCGTTGTTGTAGATATTCCAGCGGTATAAATCACTGATTACATTTGTATGCGTATAATTGCTATCCCAATAGAATTTCAATCCCGTATTATTATTTCAGATCAGTGGTTTTTCAATTCCACAATATCTGAAAAGATCGTTAACCTTTTGAAAAGTAGGCGAGCCGTGAAGATCTAATAAAGCAAAAGTTGCACAGTAATTTACTGTCCGTTCTTTCTCTATCTTTTGTACGTCACATTCCCGTCCGGAATTCTCGGTCCTATCGCGATCCTCTAACGTTTTCCTTTTAATCTCTCTGAGACTTTTCATTTCCGCAAACTCCAATAGTGTATGGTCTTCTCTTTTCTCATAGTTCTGACGTTTCAGCTTTCGTTGTCGTCGCCTTCGCCATACTCGTCCCAGTCGCTTTACGAATTATTCCTGTTTTTATTATCTTCCTTAGGTGTTTATTTTGCCAGATGCTCTGATATTAAAGAAGCCTGCTATTTTGTTTTTCTTCGTTGCTCTCTCGTTTTCTACTTTTTTTTTTCATTGCTTTTAATTCTTCAAGTTCCTTTAACCAGAGAAATCAATACAGAGGAGGCATTCCTTGTTTAACATCAATGTCATTCAACCGATCTCTACTGACATTTGATATTACACAGTTGTACTTGTACACGAAATAGTGCTCCGTTTTTTTCTTTGTCTATTGTGCCACACAACATACAATCGTAAGCCGCAAAAGAAAGTTGGCAACATGGTGATAGCTTGTTATAATGCACAATCAACTTTTTAAATATTCACTCCCTCATATCTTCTTCCCCTCCTCCCCCATATTTCCGACCATTGAGATACAGCTCATCCAAAAGCTTTCGTCATAAGCTTTCTAGTGGTGTACGACGAATTCATGCTAATTTCACATATTTTCCTAAATGGATTCTTTACAACACAAATGAATACT